CTCCAATTCTGTTCTGATGAAGAAACAAACTCATCTACATTTTAGTTCATTTTTCATTTCACTGGGCAAAAAATGTAATAAATGCATTAAAAAAATAAAATTTAGCTTCTTAATCCTTCTTGTCTAAAATCCATTTACTTTTTAACTAAATTAATAATTTAAACTCGCCTTTAATGAATAGAAATCCAGATCCTGACTGATGAAGACACTAAAACTTTTTAGACCCAACAAGTAGTTTATTTAACTAAATTTATTGTTCCACTAAATTAGAATATGGGTATGTATTTAATTCTTGCTATATGTCAGAAAAAAATATGCATAGTCTGTGAAAAATTTAATTTTAAAATTAAAATTAAAAGGTTTTATTTAATTGCATTGAAAAATTTGATTAGATTTTTTTAGTATTGCAGGCTTGTTCAAATTCATACACCCTAAGCTTGAGAACAGTATTAGTGATGGCTGCCTTAGCAAGTAACTGTGACCAAAACGCATGCACAATTCTGTTAAATTGAGGTTGAAGAATTATATTTAGTGGTCACACATGCATGGGTAAGCGATACCATAATATCACTTTACAGCACATTATAAACACAAAGAAAGCAGAACAAGGTTTCCACTTGAACAACCTCCTGCAGGAACGGGTCTGGTTGCCATAGGGATTCCCTTCTACTGTCCTAGTCAGAATTAGAAGCATCTCTGTGCAATCTGCCCACGAACAAGAGAGGACCAACCTTCCGTCTCACATCACCAACTGCCTTCAAATTACTCATTCTGACTGTACGCAAAGTTCAATCATCTGTAGCCCACACAACCTACGGACAGACGGCCTTTGCCATGGATTATTCATGATGAAAAAAATTTGCCTTTTGTTTGTGAAGTAAAAAGAGAGGGCTGTTTAAAATGGAAATTCGCTGCTAAAAGATATATTTAAGAGTGACTTTGAAAACGCCACCTGTGAGGCATCAAGAGAGCAGAACAAATGTAGGCGCTAGAAAAAACGCTCTGTTTGGCAGGCTCCTAGGTGTTGATTAGGGGCGGGTATCTGCAGGTCTCTCGTGAGGCGATGCATATGCAATGTATGTTGATAAAGACTGTAGGAATCGCGTTATGTAATGTAAACAAAGCCACGCTGGATCTGAATCTCAGGTTTGATCTGGCTTTCTGAGATGTTCGATGTGATCAAAAAGAAAAAAAATTTCATAGTTGCTGTAGCTGTTCAAACACAAGTGAACATGCCACATGGTGGCATACTGAATTGAAGACTTTCAGAACATTCAAATCTGCATTCGCACTTCCGCTCACAAACAGTCTTTTCAAACATAAGGTATTATTTCTGTCTTACAATCATTCATACCATCACATAAATACTGGAATGAAAGTTTATAGTTCGGATATAAACAATGATGTCTATGGTAGCGATCAAAATAGTGCAAATCCCTTTTTGAAAGTAATTGGAGCTTCAAATAATGTTTGTGTCGATTACATTGTTTCGCCACTAGGTGGTGACAAGTGACTTAAAAAACAATTTGTCATTGAATCATTCATTCAAACGATTCATTCAAAAATGCTTATTCATCCAGTAATGAAACAAGTGAAGTATTTATGAGTGAGTCATTGAATCATTCATTCAAACCAATTTTTCATAATTTTAATGTTAAAATTGGTTTATTAAATATATTTTAAATGTACATTATATTTAACTTTTTGATAATTCATGCAAATTAATATTAACAGACACATTTAAACAGACTGCAGGAATATTTTGTCACAGCCTCTAGTAAATTACACAATATTTTGTTAAGTTCAGAATCGTGGGAGAAGCGTGATCTCTATTTGAGACAAAAAAATCGTTACTCTCAATTTATCCAGAATCGCACGGCTCTACCGTCTACCCAGGACCTATTGTGTTGTTTTAAACTGTTTTGAGCATCATGAGAATGTCATGAGTTCTGTGTTTTTAAGACATTGTGCCAACTTAAAAAAAAAACAGTAAAACTTAAAAAATGTGTTGTTGGCACCGATAGCCTTGTGGGCAGCACGCCAACAGGTTGCACTACTGGCATCCCGAGTTCGAATCCCGACTCAAGGACCTTTCCCAATCCCCCCCTTCTCTCTCTCTCTCTCCTACTTTGCTTTCTGTCAGCTCTGATCTGTTCTATCATAAAGGCAAAAATGTCAAAAATAAATCTTTAAAAAAAAACCTTTAAAATGTGTTGCGAGATTCACTTATGTTCTGCTTCAACTAGCCATTTTAAGCTCAAGGGCATGTCTTATTGGGGTCAAGCAAACACAAAATCTGGCTAATTATACAGGGCTTCCCTAAAACCATAATTTGACTCATTCTTTCAGCAGCAGACTAACTGATTTTGAAAATATATATTACTATTCAAAAGTGACAGTAAAGACATTTATAATGTTACAAATGATTTATATTTCAAATAAATGCTCTTCTTTTGAACTTTCTATTCTATCAAACAAACATGAAAAATAAACAAACTGTTTCCACAAAAATATTAAGCATCTCAACTGTATCATTGGTAACAATATGAAATGTATCCTAAGCATCAAATCAGCATATTAGAATGATTTGTGAAGGATCATGTGACACTGAAGACTGAAATAAAATCATCACAGAAATAAAAATACAAATTTAATTAAAATACAAAACAGTTATTTTAAACTGTAACACTCTTTCCCAATATTATTGTTTTTATTGTATTTGTTTAAACAAATAAATGCTTTTTTTTTTACTGACCTAAACTAACTGGCCCAAACTTTTAAATAGTTGTATATTTTGCACATCCCTAAAATAGAATATAAAATAGAAACACTTATCTGCCTTTTTAGAAGATTCTACCTCACATCACATTCAGGCCAAATTCTCCATAATTCCACAGATAAAGCAGCACTCGTTTAAGACAAACAACTCACTGAGAAGGATGCACACGTTAATAATTGATAACAGTATTCAGACATGTAATACAATCTCAAACTCAATTTGCTATAATTGAGTTTTTCTTGAAAGTCTATCCCATTTCATCAATACATCTTTAGGCAACTACAAAAGTGCTTCACTCGAGGGAGCAACACAAAACACATTAGAGACCACAGACATCTACAAAGATTTTGGGAAAGAGGATTTAAATAATCTGAAGCAATGTTTTTACTGAAGCACTGCATGCCTATGTCCAAACAGATGGAATAATTCAATGTAGTGATCTCTAGTGTTTGAGATAATAGATGTGAACATTTAACATTGGTGTACACAGATGTTCTTCAGACTTTCATGAGCCTAGAACTGCAAGTTGACGATATCAAGATTTCTATAAGGGACAGAAAGTAAACATGCATGAAAAGGCAAAGGGGAAGGACTCAAACAGGAGGTGATAAGTGATCTAGCAGCTGAGCAGACAGATCTTGAGTCTGGAGGAGGCAGGAGGCTGAGCCTGTTGGCTGCGTTCACACTGAGGCTGCATCAGGGCAGATGGTGGGGAGAGTTGAGGGGGTTCAAAAACACAGATGGTGCCAAAAATTATTGAAACTGTGAGGGCCATTAAAAGGCTACCAAAAACACTAAGAACACCTTGGCCAGTGGCTTTTGCATAGACAAGCTCCACACATTTTCTTCAGAAAATAAACTACCATTGGTCCATGGTGATTATGTAATAGGTGGGTGTGGCTCCAAGGCCCCGCCTCCTTCGGCATGTAAATCTTCTCTGGTTTATTTCTTCAGTTCAGTTGAGGTCAGGCACGAATGAAAACACGAACACACTGGATAGCTGCTTTATACTTAGATATTGAGCTTGTAATTCGAATTGAAAAAACACTGACACTGTTTTGCCTATTTAGTAGTGCTGGGCGGTACCGGTTCATACCGAATACCAGTGTTTATTTTTGTTATGATATGACTTTTTAAAATACTGCAATACTGGTGTATGTCGCTTAAACAACGTTCGGAACGCGACACTGTTTGAAAGGGGTCCCTTTTCACTGTTGCACTGTGGTGAGGGAACAGCTGTATGTGTTACTAAGCGTGAAGTATTAAAAGGTGTCGTGTTTAGTCACTATTTAGTGTGATATTTTTTGACAATATTCACTCATCATGACAGTAAAATAGGGCATTCTAAGTCAATATACTGCAGTATTTCATCTCTCAATCAGTAGAAAATATGGTTAACACCCGGTTATGCATGAAAAAAAAATACCGTCATGTACCGTGAAACTGGTATAATTTAAAAAAAATACAGTGATATAAATTTTTGGTCATACCACCCAGCACTACTATTTAGTACTGTAAAGCTGCTTGCTTTAAAGAAATCTTTTGTATAAAGCACTATATAAATAAATGTGATGTGACATGACTGGAGGGCTGAACTGCAGAGCTCATGCCAACATATCCACATCGCTATGACCAGATCCTTTCTTGACTGTCTTCTCACCGTTTCTTTTGTTATTGAGAGGACAGCATGTAGCAGTGTAGAGAGCATTGGCATGTTCGCAATTAGCACACTAGTATACTGTACTAGTATAATCTTACCCCTAAGCAAAGAACAAAAATGAACATCGCTGGAAGTATATTGCGGCCTTAACCCACGGCTTCAAAATCTTTCAAATGTGCATCTTTACTCTGAGCTTCTTCCCTTCCACACAGAATCTCTGCACTTTCCTCCACTTACCTCTTCGCAATCCTGCAACTCTCATTTGTTGCTTTCTTTGCCCTCATCCCCAGCTTCACTTTTCTCCCTTTGTCTTTAATTGCTATGATTAAGTCTCCTGCATAATAATTACTGTCTCCATCCCTCCAGAAACACTGACAGACTAGGCGTTCATTCCCTCATAACCTCTATGTGCCAGTACACCAATCATGTTGAAGGAAACTGAAGCACGCTGTCTGTATCAATCATGACTCGAATTAAACACACCTGAATTAGGCTACTGCACCAACACGGCCTTCAAATTAAGAACAGGCATTTGGTAAAAGAGGAAGATGATGATGTTACCTTGATGTAGCAGTTCAGCTGTGGATAAACCCTCTGCACCCCCAGGAAAATAGAGAGAGGGGTTCGGTGAGGGAAGGATGCTGTGACGACATGTGTGACCTCTGGGAAAGAGAAAACCCGGAAGCCGTGCTTCTCATACAGCTGCTGCTGTTCCTCATTGGGTGCATCCTCACTCAAAATACTGCCCACCGCATAGCGACACTTCTGTGCTGGAACCTACAACACACATAAACAAACATTTCTTAATGCAGAAGCATTGCAATTCTTGAAATTACTGTCAGAAATGTTTGTCGAGAAAGGTTTTCATTTAATTAAGACAATCATGAAAAAGCTCACGACAGTAATTAAATGGTTGAAGAAAATTACAAGAAAAAAACTGCAACAATGCACAAACAATAATTTAGAATGTACAAAACATTTAAATAATATAATCATAAGTACATGAAAAAAATGTAATTATATATTTCTAAATAAGTAATTTTATTTAAAGAAGCATTAAATTGATCAAAAGTGGCAGTAAAGACATTTTAATGTTGTAATGAGAAAGTGAAATAAATGTGTAAAATTCTCAGTTTCCTCAAAAATATGAATCAGCAAAACTTTTAATAATAAGAAATGTTTCTTAAGCAGCAAATTACCATATTAGAATGATTTCTGAAGGATCATGTGACACTGCAGACTGGAGTAATGATGCAAAAAAACAAAAATAAATAAAAAATTTAAATGTATTACAATATAAAACATTTATTTGAAATTGTAGTATTTCACAATATTACTGCTTTACTGTATCTCTGATCAAATAAATTGTCTTGAGCATAATAATATACATATATCACACCGACTGAAGGCAAACTTAAAACAAGTCTCAAGTCATATTGTGTTAGCTCACTAACAAATATGCCACACATAATGCAATATCATGTCTCTAAACATGTGGAACACACATGTACTACAGCGCACAAAACAAACAGTGGATAATGAATGCAACCCTTTCTACTGCTCTTTAATTAGTTTGGCCCTGCTAGCGTTCACCGTTATCAACTTTTCCCAGTGAAGCAGGATTATATCAAAGACGAACACTTCTCTAGCCAACAAACACTCTTCTTCCCAAACTGATCCCCAAACAGCATATCCACAACAAAAACTTTCCCAGCCCCATTAAAACCCATCAGCTGCCTGCAGTAATCACCAGAAGGAGCCGTACACATCTCACAATGCTTATCTTGTGCAACAAATAAGCAGGAAGAACTCCCTCACTCTCGCTAGCGCAGTGGCATTCAAAGACAACAGGGAGCGTCCACGATTCAGTGAGTCACAGAGGAAAAGCTAGCTTAATGAGAATAAACAAAGCGATGGCTGAGAAAAGCATATAAATACAGGATTAGATGGAGTTGCATGAGCAGGTGGCATTGTACGGCGAAAAAGAAAAAAACAATGAAGCTGTAGTTTGATAAGACTGTGACTAGTTGCCACGCATCGTCTGGCAGCTTCGAGACCAGTGTGGATGGATGCCCAACTGTCACTTTTCACGCATGCCTCTTGCTTTTACCAACCAAAGGAATATATGCTTGCAAATGAGGGCACCGGGGAAATTTGAGATGGATTGTACGACCCAGTCTCGGCTTGGGGTTCAGGTCTCTCGAGGATTTGGAGGGAAAAGGGGTAGGTCGCCGAAGCTAGACTGTGACAGATGAAGGTCTGTTTAGAAAAGAGGCTGCAACAGTTCCCAGAACATCCATCCTTTAAATTGGAGGAAAGTATTCATTTGTCTCGTAGTCTCTTCTGGGTCACTTTTGGCCTCCTGCTGAGCCCTCCACTGCCAGTCAGGAGAAATATCAGTCACAAAAACAGATAACCAGACGAGTTAAACTGGTTTTAGTTTTCTCTCAAGATCGTTTGGTGTTTACATTAGAGTCCTAATCAATCCTGATCCTTCAACAGAATCACATAATTCGTTCTAGATCGTTCTGAGGCCCTGGTCTGCGGGAGGTCTGGATTCCCGATGTGCTCTCAGCAGGTGTTGTTCACGGGGAGTGTGTTTTAACAGACTGGCCCGTCACTAAGCATCCATTTGCTCAGAGCCTTTGACAGAAATTGTGACTAAGTCTCTTCCAACATGGCATTAGACTATAAATAAATGAGATCAACAACAACAAAACTTCAGGGATTGCCAGAGACCATGTTCTGTCAACAGTTTAGTCAACAGAAGGCACGTTTCCATTACAGATTTGATATTTTAGAATATCGATATTTTTGAAATGTCGATAAAAAAGTATTGCGAAATGACGACAGCGTTTCCATTAACCAATGCCTCTCGCGATAAGTCATGGCAACGGATTTTGGCTATATTTATTCAAAGGAGGCGTATGCGTGTATCTTTACAGAAGCAGCACAGAGAGCCGCTTCAGAAACGCGTGTGGCACAGCTGGAATAAACAAGCATTGACTAGAGTGACCGCAATCAGCTTCAGTGGCTGTATCAGAGCCACACTGCAACGCAGATGTGTGCAGTGTAAATTGTCTAAGCATTAATGGTAGGGAAATCCCCTTATACTGGAGAGCAGCCACGTAAGTGTTTCTTGGAGGTTATAGTACATTGAAGAATAATCATATGACTTTTTACATACGCCATGTGACCTGTAAATGCGAAAAAAAACAAAAAAACATTTCCATTGCAGTTTTGAGAATTATTCCTTTTTCTCATTGCCTGAAAAACCACCTCATGCGAGCGTAAAAACTTTTTTGCGATATATGGGTGCTTTTGCGAAATTTACGCATTTCCATTAGGCGTATTTTCAATTCGCAATTTCAATTTGCACAATTTTAAGGGTAATGGAAATGCGCCTAGAGTGTCTTCAGACGCCTTTTTTTTTTTTTTTTTTTAAGCATTATGTCAAATATTACAGGGCAACTCCACAGAAGCAATGAATAATCATTAGTTACATTAGACAAGATTACATATAACTAGTATAACCAAATATATATTATATAATATATAAATTATATATTAAAATATATTTATATATAAAAATACATTTCAGTTATTTTTTTATCTTTACAAAAAAAAGTCCTTTAAATTTAGTTAATATTTCACCATGTTAATCGTACTCAATTTTACTCTCGCTAAAAAGGCATATAATTTATTTGACGTATTATTTTAGTAGATAAAATGTGGACAATTGAACAAACTGCAAGTGTATAAATTTGTAACAAACCAATTTATTTATTATTTAAAAATAATGAAGTGTACATTAAGCTATTTAAACATCAATTTAACTAAAAATACAAAGTGAATTATTGTATAAATAGGATCATAAATTTGTATTAAGGATATGAATATAATAAACACACACACACAAAAACACAAAAGTCTTCTTGGCCAATTAATGCATCACAATAATCAGGTAGGTTGACGGAATACACACCAAAAAGTTAACTGAAAACCAAGCAGAGCCCGACCGATATATAATTTTGCCGATTTTATATTTGCCGATATGAGCCTGTCTCAGATATATCGTATCGGCGAATATGCTGCCGATATGAATGTTTTTTTACAGAACTTATAACGCAGATAAAATGCTTCTAAATGGTGTAATTACTTATTTTGTCCAGCAGAACGCACTCCATTGTTTGCTACTTGCGACCCAGGTCACTGATGCACGGATGAGTTCAAACTTCACCCGAGTCCACTGATTGATGAAATTAGCGATTTATACTAATATGTGATGCTTCTCCTGGCCAATCAACCCTGGTTATGGAGTAAATGAAGACACTATGGAAAATATGTTATGATAATATAAATGACCCATTCAAAATCCAGGGTTGGATTTAGTTTGTAATTTTGATGATTTTTTAAAAATCCCATGAGTCCTGATAAATGCAATTTCAACTATTTCTGAAGTGCTTCTTGTTGGAAAGCACTTTTATCACAATGTTTTTTCTGTTGGACTTGTGTAGGCCTTAGGTGTTTTTTTTCTCTTCTGTTAAAAGCTGTTAAATTATTAAGCAGTGTTGTGTAGATTTTTTCCCTTGTATTTTATGTGGTGACCACTGGGAGGTGCTCTGGGCATTTTTCTTTCTTGGTTTTCTTCCCTGATGTGATGTATGTTGCAAAGCGAAAGTAAAAGTTTCATGCAAGTTCGTTTGTTCTAACCAGAAAGAGCTCCGTGTCTTTATTTAAAATCAACACTTCTTTTATAAAGAACACCGCTTTCTCACATAACGCAGTGAAGCAGCCCGTGCATAGAATGAATAATCGATTCTTGAGCCATTGATATCAACCAATTCAACATCACCGCCATGGACAGCACCTGGTAACGTCGCACGTAAGAAGGTATATCTTAAGCAACCTCCTAAGGTATAGTTCGGGGAACGCTTAGAAATAGTACACCTTTAGTTAAGGCATTCCTTTAGAGTCTTCGTAGCGTGCTAAGAGACAGCGTTATTGGAAAACGCAGCCCAGGTCAGTACACTTAAATCAAATCGTGATTTAGACTAGTGTCTGTGAATACCTTACTAACTAATAATAAGCAGCAAATTAGGAGTTTATTAAAGGGGTCATATGATGCGATTTCAAGTTTTCCTTTCTCTTTGGAGTGTTACAAGCTGATTGTGCATAGATAAGATCCCTGAAGTTGCAAAGACTAAAGTCTCAAAACCAAAGAGATATTCTTTATCAAAGTTAAGACTCTGCCATGCCCCCCTAAAACGGCTCGTCCTAACACGCCCCACATATCTACCTCACTATGTGGAAATATTAGCATAATGCCGCCCAAATGTGTATGCAAAGAAAGAAGGTGTGGTTTCAGTAACCGCAGTTAGTGTTGAAGCAGCATGTGAGGGAGACGCTGTGTGTTTCTAGGCGAAAGCAAAAGCACTTTATTTTGCCTTCCGAAAGTAGATGCATTTAGAAATCTTTAAGATCACTTACAACAGAACAGCAATGCATTTTATGGACGACCGTTTCATGAA